GTGGCAAAAAATTAGACGTTGTCCTAAAAAATGTCACAAAATTGGTGAATTACATGATGGCTCATGCTCTTAATTTTCAACAGTTCTGAGCACTTCTTGATGAGGCTCAAGCACAGTATAATGCTTTCCTTATGTACAGTAATGTCTGGTGACTGAGCAGATTTGTAGAGATTTGTAGCCTGCTTGGATGAAATTGGGCTGTTTATGAAAGAAAAAGGGTGAGAATATCCACAGCTCACTGGTATGGCCTGGCTTAACAAATACAGATATAATACATACATATATAATATATATGTACTGAACAAAAACTGCAAGATGTAGGGAGAAGAGCAAAAAGAATTTTTTCTGATATTAAAAGATTTGAGAGAAAACTGCAGGTTTTTGAAAGAGACATTGAAAGTGGGCAGCTGGAATATTTTCCAAATCTAGAAACGCATTTAGAAAGTTCTACAACATTTGCAGACAGTCCTACAAGCCATCAGGAAATCTACAAGGAATTTTCTAGCACTGTAGCAGCTGCAAAGGAGAATTTTAGTAGTCAGTTTTTACAGTTCCCTAAGCTGGAGACAATCCTGTGCTTTCTTACTTCAGCAGATAAAGCCAGATTTGAAGAACTTGATCTTTCCTACTTACACTGGTTAGAGTTTGGGAAATCTGGAAATGGAGCTACTGGAATTTCAAGGAAGCTCTACCCAGAAAAATAAATTCTATGACCTGGGCACAACCCTCGAGAAGATAGAGAAGAGTGTGAAGGGATGACAAAGGACAGCACAGTGGGCAGCTCCGAAAATGAAATCTTTCATCATCTTTTTTAAACCACTAAATCCCTGGCCCTGAAATCCTTACAGTGTGGAGTACTCTGCCAAATACTTTTAAATCAATGAAAGCACTTGAGATTGCTTTTCTTACTTTGTTTGGATCATCTTACGCTTGTGAGCAGCTGTTTTCAGCTTGCACCAAATCTGATGCAAGAAACAGACAGTTGACATGAGTGCAGAATGTGTTGCTCTCAAACTAATGAAGTGTGAGCTCAGGTTTGACAAACAACAGCATACAACCACAAAGATAATGTTAATTGCATGCCAAATGCAAACTTTTACCTTTCAACGACAATCTGTTTGTATCACTGAAAGATCTGTAACTGGGTTTTTCTTTTAAGACAAAAGATGTTTAATGTATGAGTTTTTTTTCCTAAACTAAAACCCCAATATTCAGGTTTAATTGCAGTTTTGGCACTTTGTGATAAATAAGTGAGTTGGGTTGCAGTTTGGGTAATTGGTCTCTAGAAGTTTTGTCATCACTGGACTATGGTTACTCTTTTTTCTTATGCATCTCTCACCCCCTGGAGTTGATGATTGCCCATGTGTTTGTTTCAATTTCTCTGTGCATGATCACACATTGTTTAGAGAAGGGCACATTATGAGGATGCATTGTTAGGAAATTTTGTCATTGTACCAATAGCATAGTGTGTACTTACACAAACTAAGATGATTATGATGTTGCTAAGATAATATCATCTTATGGGACAACTATGTTGTACATGGTCTTTTGTGGACCAAAATGTTATGCGCCACATACTTCAGTCCTAAATCGTTGGTCATACTCTATCCATCAGGGACTTAGCTGCAAAAACTGGAATACTTTCTGGTTCGAAGAAGAATTTGTTACAGAATGTTTACTAGCTCCAGAATCTTCAGGAGGGAGGAGAGTCAGGCTTGGATGTTGCACAACCTGGGGCAGGGCTGGTTGTCAAGAATGCCAATACCTCTCCACTGCTCTCCCTGCAGATTAGACACCTCATTCTTTACCTTTCCCTGAAAATGGCATCTGTTACTTTGCATTGTTTTTTCTACAGATGAAATCTCCCAAAGATGGAACCCCTTGGTGGGGCTAAGGTCACAGTTTCACATCTTAGCTGCAGAGGATGCTGGGAAGGCTCATTTCATCCAGGAGTTCCCTTTGACATTGTTGTGGATATTTCCTAGCTAGCCTGTTTCAGGAGAGAGAGAGAGAGAGAGAGAGAGAGAGAGAGAGAGAACATTTCTGGTTTTCCAAATTCAGAAATGTCTATTCTATTTTTATAGTTAATTGATGATTTAACAGTTTGATAGAAGGTTCTAGATAGAAATAATTTTCCTTCAGAAATTTGAATTGCTCTATTATCTTCTGGCTTCTAATGGGCAGAAACTCAATGATTAAATTGAATCATTCCATGCCCTCACGTGTGCTGGCTCGCATGGTGCTCGCATCTGCTATGCTGGTGCTTGGTGACCCTGTTAATCTGAAAACCCACTCCTTCATCTCAAATTATTTCTGTGATGTTTTCTCCCCTTCTGTTTTCCTATTCTCTTTTCCTGGGATGTCTGTTATTTTGATGTTGGACTTCTTGAATTTACTCTCTCATTTTCTCTCTTATTTTTTCTTTACCTTTGTTCTACTTTTGGGGAGATTTCTCATCTTTAACTTTCAGATTTATTTCTGCTCTGTTAAGTTTTTTGTTTCTGCAAATGTTTCTTTTTTTTAGAAACAGAATCTTATTCTGATTCCTTGGACTTAATATTTTTTTAATCTCTCTGACAGTCTAAGATCTAACTGCAAAATTAATCATCTCTTTCTTGCCTAAAGATTTTTTTCTCTTCCTGTATCATTTCTCTTCCCTCCAGACTGATTTTCTTGGTCTGTCTTTCATGTTAAGGTTTTTTTTAGATACTTGCTAACCCTTGCTTGTCCAGTCTTATCTAACAGTATATTTAAAAGGCCTACTGGCAGCTCTGATCACAGGAGTGGGTTGTCGTTTACAGGCCTTATTTAAAGGTGGTGGTTTCCAACTTTTGCTGCACATTAGAATCACCTGGGGAGCTTTTCTTTTAACTTATTATTTTTTTGGAGGGGGGAGGTGTGTGGCTCCTCCCTGAACTAATTAAATCAGAATTAAGAGCTCTAAGATTGGTAGTTTTAAAGCACCCCTAGTAATTTTACTTGAAGAGAGATGAACTCAGCTCTTGGACTACTTAGTTCAGATGTGTTGAGGAACAGTCATAACAGCAGAGACCGAGGTGGATTCTGGAAACTTGTAATTGTGTCAAATACAATACACCGCTTCCCCTCCTCTGAATGAAAATGGTGGGAGATAAGATGGAGTAAGTGTCGGAAAGTGTGTTTCCCCTGACAGGAGGTAATTCTCCATGAATTTTCCCAAGAATAAAAGCAGAGGAAACTTCTTTTCTTGTCTGTCATTCATCCTTAGAGGACACAAGACAAATAATGTTGGTACCCAGAGCTCTGTTCTGTGAAGTTGGTCAGGTTGCCCTGTGAAGAATTTTCCAATCTCTTGCCTTTGTTTTTGCCGCAGTCTGAGATCTGAGAGGGAAGGAGTCTGTGGGTCTTGGTATCCAATACTTAAGCTGTAATTTAATTTCCTGTTTTTGGTACTGTTTCTCCCCACCCACTTGGGGTCCCGGGTGCAGGGCTGGCTGTTTGACCTTCTAGATGCTCGGCATCCGGTCCTCTACTGGGGGGAGGGGTGCTCTGCTGTTGAGGAGGAGTAGGTTTTAGCTCCTGGTGTCACCCTCTACGGGGCACCTCTGATCTACCAATCACTCTATCTTGGGTGAGTGGGGACTCCGTAGTGTGAATCTGCTTGGGCCTCGGCTTCCCCTCTCAGCTCTGTTATCTGTTCCCAGCTTCCAAAAGGGCGCTCATTCTTCTTGTTCTTGTCTCTCCTCTCTCTCTCTCTCTCTCTCTCTCTCTCTCTCTGTGTAGTACTGGGGTTTGAGCCCAAGGTCTTTAAAAACAATTTTTTTTTAATCTGAGTTAAGTTCTTGCTAAATTGCTAGGTCGACCAGGCTGAGCTTGAACTTGTGATCCTCCTGCCTTAGCTTCCCAGAGTACTGGATGTCTATTCCTTTAAGGATCCTTTTATAGAGCTCAATGGTAGAGGGTACTTAGTGTTGTTTGAGGCCCTGAATTCAATTTTCAGATGCCCCCACCAAATCTATGGTTTGAATGGGATTTGAATCAGAGGTAAATGTGTCCTACCTATCATTTTTTCATTGGATATTGCTTACCATTGCCACGGGAAGAATTTGCCCTATCAGTGTGTGTGGCCACGTGTGCTATTTTAATTTTAAGGAAGGTCTCGTTTTACACTTTCAGAATTAATTGTTCAGGTATAATTTATTGTCCACAAGACACATGTTTTACTGTGCACTAAATGGTCTTTTGGAACCTTCTAGGGTGGTGGGGCTGGTGAGAGAGGAAGGATTCTTTTGAGCACTGATGGGATAAACTTTTTTTTGGTACCGGTACCAGGGATCGAACTTGGGTCCTTGTGCTTGCAAGGCAAGAGGCGGAACCACTGAGCTAAATCCCCAGCCCCTGGGGTAGGCTTTTTAAGAGTTGACTCGATTCCTGTTTAGCTCAGAGCATTGTGGAATGTCTCACAGATGCTGCTGAGTGGTGAGCAGGGATTTAGGGCACGTGGCTTTTGGTTTATGATTGCTGTGTGAGTGTGTTTTATGGACCATCTTTCCAGGACAGCTAGACTTATGTGTTTGATTTGGTCATGAACACTGCTTCCCTTCTTGCATGATAACAGGCTTTTAAAAACATTTAAAGTTTTTATTTTATTTTAATTTTTTTTGAGACAGTTTCTTGCCATGTAGTTCAGGCCTCAACCTCCTGAGTGCTGGGATGACAGGATGCACCATGATGCCAGGTTTTAAAAGTTAACCCTAGGCCATGGCTTGAGGGATTTATCTGACTGAACTAAAATAAGGCAGAGTACCTGGAGCCATGCCCAGAACCTGAACCTACGTTCAGGCTCCACCTATAGCCCAGTCCACCTGGCCAGCCTTTTCCAGGACCTGCTTTTCCGGTCCCTTTTCCGGGACCTTCGTTCTCCCTGACCCGGGGTGAAGGAGGATGAATGGCCCCTCAGTGACCCACAGAAGCAGTTTAGCATGCAGGCTTCCAGGGGGCTCTTGCTTCTAGTTGGCGGAGGAACACCCCAATCTGGCTCATCTTGCTTTTATTCACCGAAACATGGGTACAAGCGATCAGAAGTAACACAAGACTCAGCTGCTTCCCAATATCCATTAGTACTTACTCTGGTAAACAACTGAACCTCAGCTGACTGAAGTTTTCCTTAGAACCTATAATATGCAATCAGCCCTAAGTGCAGCCTTTCTCCTTGGTGTTCACAGAGGAGGCCAATTAGGCCTTAATTCTCCTCTGGCCTCCAACAGTATCCACCTTGTGGATTTGCAGAGAGGTACCATGAAGTAGCCGCCCAGTGGTTCTGTTTTAGAACATGGGGTTCAGGCAGAAGGAGAGGTAAGTTGAGGGGCAGGGGCTCCCTGGTCTGCGCGTTGCTGAGGAGCAGGTACATCTCTGGCTTGATAAAGGACCAGAAAGACCCTGGTTTGAGTCAGACCTCAGACAGCTGGTGGGGAAGAAGCCCGGAGAGCTGCACCCTTGGCCTCTGGCCAGGTGGCCAAGTACTTGAACTTGTGATGAACCGGGGCAATGCTTCATCCTCCCTGAGGCAGAGGCAGTGCTGAGGAACAGAAAGAATGTGTTACAAGACCTGGGCCAGGGGCTTGCTAAGTTGAAAGAGTTAACCCCTTTCTCAGCAAATATTTCTGGAAAGGGCCAGTTAGGATGTGTTTTAGGCTATGTGGATTTTAAGGTTTCTGTTGCATTTTCTTTTTCTACCCGCCCCAGCTGTGAAACTGTAAAATTATCCTTTAATTGTTGGTCACACAAGAGGCTGCAAGCTGAATTTGGCCCCAGGGCTATAGTTTGCCCAGCCCTCTATCACTTCACTTTGTTTTTTTTCCTCATTGAGTCTCTCACAATCTGAGTTATTATCTTATTTTATGCTTCTCTACCGTTATGTGATTTCCACAAGACTTACACTCTTGGCTACTTAAATCTTTGTGGTATCCTTGAGGATGAGGGTACTGGCTGGCACTGAGGGGCCACTCCAGTATCAGAGGAATAAATAACACGTGTTATCAGTTCCTGCTTTATCTCTGGTAACTCACCTGTGAGATGAGGGGCCTTCCAGAATTTTCCAGCACATTCTGAGGGTCTCATTCACAGAGGGATATGGGAACATGGGTCTTCCTTACAGATGGCTTGGGAAGCTCCTGGGTAGAGCCAGAGGTAAAGCAGACAGGCTCGGGAGCTGGTCTGCTCTCCAAAGCATTGGGTCATCCTGACCACATGCACAGAGGGATATTTCTGTTCAAAGACCCTTTCTTTTCTCTGTTAATGGTTTTTGTCCCCCACAGGCATGCTAGCCATCTTATTTAGCAACTGATGTGGGCCCAGGATCGGCCTGTCAGGACCCAGACTACCGTGAACAACTGTTTCCTCAGCCTGCTTCTCCAGCCTTAGCCCAGCTGATAACCTTCTACCTGGGCTTTTTGCCATGACAAACTTCTCAGCTTTCCACAAACATTCCATGCCTCACTTCTTTGTTCATGTTGCTTCTTATATCTGGAATGTCTTTTCCCAAGGCCTTTTTTCATTTGCCAGATGAACTTCTATGAGTGCTTTAGGACCCGAATCAATTGTCAGCTCTTTTGTCCCCTGGCACACTTGGTTGCTCTCTCTCCTTTCCCATGGCTCTTTAACCCTTCTCGGACACCATACTTCTGTGGCATGATTGCCACTGACTTGGGTTTGTCTCCTCTCCAGCCTTGGTCCCCAGTGCCTGGCTTCTAAGAGTGCTCAGTAAAAGTTTACAGAATAAAAGGATGATATTCACATGGCAGATTTTGGGACACATATTACTGGGCTCAATCTGACGTTTCTTCTCCTGGGTTATGACACGTGGCTTCATCACAAATGCAACTGGGCATTTTTGTGAGACTCTCAAGTGTTGAGGGAATTGGATGGCAGACCTGGGCAGCTGGCCCTTCAAGAACTGGCACTTACTTGAATGGTGCCTCAGGCCCAGGGTGCCATCTGGGTGAGGCGGGGCTGTGAGGCTGAGGGCAGGATGATGGGCTGGGTCTAGCCTGGGCTGTGAGGAATAGGCCTAATTCAGTGCTCATTGGGCAAGCTACCTCCTCTCTCTCTGGCCTCAGCTTCCCATCTTTTCATGAAGGGCTCTAAAGTCCCTCTGGGCTTCCTTTCAGAGCCACAGTGTCAGTAGTTTCCCAAGGGAAAACCTGGTCATCCAGTTGGATCCTCTCTTGCAGATCCAAATACCACCCAAACCTTGCATGCTTCCTCCTCTAGAAGGCCCCCCTCTTACTCCAAGTCACATTCCTGTCTGGGACCTCTGTGTTCTGAGACACGTGCTCACGGTGCTGCTGCAGCTCTGGAACAGCCACTGCTGCTGGGCATGGGGCCATTGTCCAGTGCCAGGCATGGTCCAAGTGTGCACCTGGCACATTGTGCAGCTCAGTGTTCACAACAGTCTCATCCTCATTTTGCTGAGGGTTCAGAGAAGTAATGTGACCAGCTGTGGTGAGTGCCTTGGTCCATGTCTAAGGTCACCTAGACCATTCCTGCATGCACATGCGGCTTCCTGTCTCTGGCTGAGGGAGTGTGCTGGTCTATGCTCTGGGCTGGTCTGAAGTGCCGTGGAGTTGGCACCTTGGAGAATGTCCCAAATCCACCATCAGTGAGGGCTGACAAATACCACAGGTCCAGGTCCTGGTATGACAGTGCAGGAGGTGGTGCTCACCCAGTCTCTCTTGGCTCCCTGTAGGGCTAAGCTACTTACACAGGTAAGGGTACAGTAATTCACCTTTTGTTGGCTTTCTTCCTTCTCTGTCATAGTTCCCCAGTCCCCCACCCTTGTTTCCTGAGATTATATCCCAGAGAAATTACCTGCCCCCAAATTCTTATGCTTACTTTTGGGGAACTCAGGTTGAGACCCTTACCCAGGAGCCTCCATCTGCTAAGTAGTGAAGCTGGGATTTGACCAGGTCAGGCTGACTCACCTCCTCACCATGTTGGTTGCTGGGCTAGGGAAACTGGTTGGGTGTAGATCAGAAGCTCCTGGTGGCAGAGCTGAGATTCTGGTTCTTTGTGACCTCAGTATCTGATTTCAGTGTCACCTGGATGACCTTTCAGTGGATGTTTGCTGAATGTCTTAGTTACTCTCCTGTTTCTGGAACAAAATACTTGATACCCACAAGTTAAAGGAGGAAATATTTATTTCAGCTCACAGTGTATAAAGGTTTTAGTCCATAGGTGGCTGGCTCCAAGGCAAGGTGGCATGGCAGACAGGCGCCGAAGAGGAGAAATAGTCTATGGCAAGGAAGGCAGGAGGAAGCAAGCAGCAAGCCTCCTTTTCTCTTTTATTCCACTGAGGTTATAAGCCTATTGGGTGGTACTACCCACACTCAGGGTGGGCCTTCTCATTATCCACACCCAGAATTATGCTACCAAGCCATGGACTAATTTAATTATTACACACCCTCAATCCATATTCACACACAGTAGATCCAGCTACCTGTGAAAAGCTCCACCTATGAGGACATGAGGCTTGTGTGGGGGGGGATCTAGATACAATCCATAACACTGAGGGAACGTGCTTTCTTTCCAGGAAACCCAAAACCAAAACTGGAAAGTGGGAAAGGACTTGGAAGATGTCATCCCAGCCTTGCCACTGTTCACTTACGTGTTTCTCCTTCTCAGGCCCACTCTCTGTCCTAGAAACTGCCTCTAGGTTAGCTACTGCCTCTAGGTTTCATGAACTTGGCCAAGAAAGAGGGATTTCTGAGGAAGGGGTGACCAGTTCAACCTAACTTGGCAGGCCCTGTGTAGACTTGAAAGATACGGACATCCTGGTCCCTGCCCTGAAGGTCAGAAAGTGGCTTGGTAAACCCAACTAACATTCCTGAAGCTATTTGAGGCCCATAACATTACTGCTTTTTAAACATTTTTTATTTTTCATTAAGTTTATTGGTATATTTTAGGTATACAAAGTGATGACATTCACCATTGGGAATTTGTACCTTTACATGATATATCTTGGTTCTTATTTTTTTCCGTTCTCCTCCCTTCCCTTCAACCCCTGTACCCCTCCCTATTTACAAAAACTTTGCTTCTGCTTTTTCCTTTTCTCATATTTTTTCCTTTCCCTTCTTTCTTTTCCCCTCCCGCTCCCATTTCCCTTTCTCCTTCCCCTTTGGATCTTTCCTTCCTATTTCACATTATCTATTATACATTTTGATCTTCATTTACACTTTCAGTTTCTCACACCAGAGAAACTATTTGGTATTTACACATGTGTGTCCCCTTTATTTCACTTGAATATTTCTCTTATTAAAGCAAGAAAAATTTAAATTTAGGAATCTGTCATTCAAGATAAACATTTCAGATTTTCAATGAGCAGAAAGAGGACAACAGAGCCACAAGAATAGGAAGATGCTAGGCTGTGATTACATTGTCACTTTTGCTGCTCACATGTCTTTCATAACAATGACATTTCTGCTTTAAATTGAGGTCTAGAGACTCTAAGTGCTTATGGCTTTTCAAGGCAGGAGGCTGGAGCACCCAGGGAGAGTTACTGAAGAAAGGGGATGATCATGAAGGTTCTTCATGAAACAGAAGAGACATCCAGTGGGGTACTTAAGGAAGGTTCAGGGACTGTCTGCAGGTGGAGGTGGGGACAAAAGAAACTCTCTGGGGAGGAGCTGGACCTCAGGACTAGCAGCAGGGAGTGCAGCACCTGTCTCCTCTGGCCAGCATGGGCCGGAGAGTCAGACCCCTGCTGGGAGGATCAGGTCTCCCTTCTAGAGCTCCAGTCCAGAAGGTGAGGAGCCAGCGGTGCCCATCTGTAGCACATCTGCGGGGAGCACGTTCTCTAGCTGCCCTCCATGCCACCCCACCCTCTTGCTGGGCCTTCTACTGAATGAGCCCGACAGGGAGCTGAGGCCCTGCAGACAGATCAGCCCTGGGGCACAGAGCTGGAGGGCTGGGGGAGACATCAGCCTTCAGGTGTCCAGAGCGTCTGGCTCGCAAATGCACCTGTGGCATCCCAGAGGCAGTGTCCTGTTTTGAGGACTGTGGATAAACTCAGTGGTGCTCTGCCTGAGTTACATCCCTTTAAAAAATTTTGAGACAGAGCCTCACTATTACTGCCCATGCTATCCTCGAATTTGTGATCTTCCTGACTCAGGATCCTGTAGCTAGGATCATAGGCGGGCATCACACTGCCTCCTGTTTCATCAGAAAACATACTGTCCTGGCCTGGGGATTTAGCTCAGTGGTTCCTGCGCTTGTCTTGTACGTGCAGGGGCCTGAGTTGGATCCCTGGTACAAAAAAAAAGGAAAGAAAACACTGTCCAGAGCTGGGTGCAGAGCCTCCCTTTTGACTGGATGCTTTCCCTCCATTACTTAAAGCTGCTGCACAGCTCCATGTGGAAGTCATTTCTCAGTTTGCTCCTTGCTTGTGTTTCACTGACCTTGAAAGTGCCATTGTCCAGGACGGGCGCTAATGGACCTTTATGTGGTGACAATAAAATATTCCAGCACTTGGAGAAAAGAAAGGAGAAGGTGCCTCCAGTGATGGTGTGTGCACTCCAGTGTCTCCTCACGGAAGGGTGACGTGACTGACTCCCCGCTTACCCCACGGCACCTTGTCCTAACCCCAACTGTGCCCCTCTGAGGCTGGAAATGGCCCTGTGTTCAAACACCCTTGAACAGTAGTGCAAACCTTACCTTCCCCCACTGAGTAATGTAATGGCCAAGAGCTGATTTGTTTCTGTGTCCTTTCCAACTGAACACAAAATACCAAGAATGGAGGGCAAGTTGGCCACAACAGTATTGAGGGGAAAGGGCCCTGCTGGAGGATGCAGCTGGTCTGCATGCTCAGTGAGATTTCTGAGATCTGGAAGATGCTTTTAGCTACGAAGCTGGATCTCACCCTCTGCCTAAGACTTGTTCTTTCGCTCTACTTGTAGCACGTTGCTGCCTGGGAGCTGGGTCTGTGCAGATGGCTTGTTGCTCGTGCCCCCATCTGGGCCTGCTTATTCTCACCTGGCCAAAGGGCAGAAATGAATCGATTTGCAGTACAAACTTCTCCAACCAGACCTGGGACCGCTTAGCTGGCGTCCTGAACCATTGCCTAACTGCCGTGGGGAAGCTGCAGAAAGCTTTGCTGGGATGGGGTGGCCCAGTGCGGGGTGCCTGGTGGGGGAGCGAGCCACCTGTAAGCCAGGACTGCAGAAGGCGTGAATGCAGAGCAGAGTTCTTGTGTGGTCAGGGAGCTGCGTTTAGGCAGAAGACTCAGCCCAGCAGGCCAAGCTGTGAAGCAGAGCGCCTCCCCGAGGGCTGCAGCATCCTCTCCCCTCTGATCTGGATGTCAGGACGCTGGAGCACATCCTGACTCTGGCCTCTCTCTGAGTTTTTGCGGAACCCGGTCAAGCCTTTCTGCAGCTTTCTCAGCAACCCCACCAGAGCTGGTCACGGAGTGTTGTCCCTGTCTGCTTTGGTAGCTCAGAGTTGCTCTCTTCCTGGGGTCGCTTTGCTCATACCTCAGCCCCCCACTGGTAACGGCTCAGCACACCCAAGGCCTCCAAGCTCTTCCCAAGGCGGCCCCGTGCCCTGTCCACTGTGGTCTCACAGCCCCTGTAGAGGTCCCGAGGTGTGCTTGGGATGGGTGCCTTGCTCCTGGCAGGAGGCATGGGGCTGGGTCATTGGGGCTCACTGATAAAGAAGGTGTAGCACCTCTGCCAGGAAACCTCACACTTGTCCCATGTCCTCAGTCCTGTACAACTGCAAATGGAGTGGCTGAAGGTGACCCCAACACATTATCTTGCAGTTCTGAAGGCTCCAGGGGCAATCTGCTTCCTTGCCTTTTTTGGCTTCTAGATGCATCTGCAACCTTTGGCTCCTGGCTCTGCCTCCATCTTCAGAGACAACGGGTTGAGACTCCCTCGCACTGCACATCCCTCCATCCTCTGCCCCACCGCCCCACTCTGCCCCCTCTTCTACTTTTAAGGACTTGTAGCATTGGATTGAGCCTGCTGTTGTCTGGACACAATTTTTCTCCCCCAAAACTGATGGTGAAATTTGATGGTCACTGTGATGGTGCTTGCTGGGTGACCAGGTTGTGAAGAGCAAACTCCCGCCTCTCTCCTGTGAGTACTCACTACTGTGGGGCTGGGTTAGTTACCACGAGCGTGGGCTGGTATAAAGCGGCTTTACCCCCAGGTTTTGCCTCCTCTGCACATTTCTGCCCATGCTCTTCTCTTTTCTGCCATGAGCTGAGTCTCTCACCCGATGCCGAGAAGAATTTTGCACCAGACTTTTGGACTTCCAGCCTCTAGAGCTGTGAGTGGAAGTCAACCTCTATTCTTTTTTTTTTTCCATTAAGTTTATTGGTACATTTTAGGTTTACAGTACAGTTACATTCATCATTGGGATCTTTTACCTCTACATTATGTATCTTGGTTCTTATTTTTCCCCATTTCCCTGCCCTTCCCTCCCCTAACACCTGCCATCCTTCCCTAATTACAAAGACTTTGTTTCTATTTTTTCCTTTTCTCATATTTTTTCTTTTCCCTTCTTTCCTTTCCCATACCCTTGCCACCTCCCCTACTCTTTTAATCCTTTTCTTCCTATTTCACATTATCAATTATACAATTTGATCCTTATTTACACTTTTATTTTTTCATACCAGGGAAACTATTTGGTATTTACACGTGTGTGTCCTATTTATTTCACTTAAGTGTGCGCTCAATGTGCATCCACTTAGCTATAAATGTCTCTAGTTTCTCATTCTTTATAGCTGAGTAGCACTCCATTTTATAAAAATCCCCACATCTTCTTTATCCAGTCTCCAACTGATGGGCAAATGGGCTGTTTGCAAGTTTTAGCTGTTACAAACTGTGCTGCTATAAACACAGGTGCACATATATCACTGTGATATGATTCTTTTAATTCTTTTGGGAAGATACCTAGCAGAGGAGTAGCTGGGTCAAATGGGACTTCTAATCCTGGTTGTTTGAGATTTTTCCATATTGAT